CGAGACAGAGAGGATCTTGTAGTGATGGAGGGAGCCATGAGGAAGTGCTCCGCAAACCCAGAGAGGATCTTGCAGTGATGGAGGGAGCCACGAGGAAGTGCTCTACCGAACCCATTCTTCTTATCATCGCGCTCAACCTATTCTTATCTCTAAATCCTCCCTTTCTTCTCTCTCTCCTTCATTCATCCATTATTGTCATCTTGGTATTAGGACTGCACAAGGAAGATGAAGGTTGTTTGGAAAAGCAAATGGAGGTTGTTTGGAGGAAACATGCACATAGGAGAACAGGAGGAGAACTGGATGCGCGAAGGAGAGCTGGAGGCGCAGCTTTTACTTATTTGTTAATGAGGTCAATTAATGGAGTTATTTTTAATTCGTGAATTAAGTATGAACCAATCCACATTATATATTTTCTAATATAACATCAGATGTCATGTAGGATCTGACATAATATTTAACTAACATTTCAATCAATAAAAAAGTACTATTTGTTAATAAATTTTAAGTGTGGTACCCTAAGATAATAGTGTCAACTTCTACTAACTATAGGAATTAAATCAAAAAAATTTTACAAGTATATAGATTGATTTGACTTAAGGTATCAGTGAAAAGGTAAGACTTTAATTTTATGCAACATTCAACATAAGACATATCCCACTAAGATATAAAAAATGAAACACAAAAGAGAATTAGACCCAGAAAAAAGAATACTACTTTCACATAGTATGATCATTCACCAGAATATCAGTTCATAAACAAATTGACTACTGAGATGATGTTGAGACATAAACCGGTAAATGCAACACATATGAAAACAGCTCAGAAGGCAAAGCACAAGAATTTTATCTGTCGCTTTCAGGGTTAGAAGAAGATACCATTAAACCCTTTAGGGAACAGATGATGGCAGAGTGAGCATGACCGAGGAAGAAGGCTCTCTTCGGAACTCCTTGACAAGAGCAGCCAATGCCTCTGGGTTCACACCCAGGTCGCAGAGTGCAATGAGAACTGAAAGGGTGTGGCAATCAAGCCCCGTGTCAAGGATGTTCGACATGTGAAATGCCAAATCTAGAGATTCTCGTGAAGTCCCAGCAGCCTCTTTGTCCATATCAGTGAACCAACTGAGTCAAGGTTTTGTTTGAAATGGGCACTCAAACCTGCAATATCAAAGCAATATGCATGAGAACATCCCTGCTCAACACTTCCAAGGCACTAAAGAAAAATAAAAGCAGCAGCAAATTTGAACTGTGAAATGACATCCTTTCCTAGGATTTTAGTTTCCAAAACCTACTCCTTTGAAGGTTTCCTGGTAATGGCTCCCTTTTCCTGATAAATATGAAAAGTCATACCAAATCCTCTCAAATAAAAGAAGCAACTCCCAATTTTTCCCTTGATTTCCCCAAACCTCCTTTTTCAAAACGGCTCCTTCTACAAGAACTGCTACAAGGTGATGTGGGGCAAAAGCTCTGCAAGAAAATATATGTCTAAATAATTGGAGTCACTACTAATCTTATTGGAAACAAGATGGAATGCTAACATAACCATGGTAAAAATGACAAATTCATGGTCCAAAGTAGCTCAGGGAAGGAAAGTGTAAGGCATCTAGCCTGCGGTGCAAACTAATAGATTAAATGTATTTTGAAGTCACCACTGATCTTACTAGAAACAGGATGAGAGGTAAAAATAATCACGGGTCAAAATGACAAATTCAAGGTCCAAAGTAACACAGGACAAGCAGGTGTAAGGCATCTACCTTATGTGCAAACTAATAGATTAAACATATTTTGTATGCATTCCCGCTGATCTAAATTAAACATATTTTGCAGCCATCACCCTAAGTGTGTGATGTTAGCATTCATCCACATAGAATTCACTAATTACAACATTTTCAAACTACAAGGATAGAGGTAAAATAAAAATTACACCAAAAACAAAGAACATAAAGGAAAGGAGACATAACACAACAGCATTAAAATACAAGAAAAGAAAAGAAAAATCAAAAGAAATTCACCACACATGTTTAATAAAAGAAGTACCCCATCAAATGGCCCAAAAGTCAATACATAGAGTGCTAAGGAAGACTTACTAATTAAATCTAGGAACATAATGCAACAATTTTCTCTTTCACTAATCTATCCCCATTGAGACCACGAGCAAAAGAAAGTAAAGCATAGGATACACTATTAACGGCCACTGAACGATATAAAGAAAGAAGAAAACCAAAAACTTATAGAAACAAGAATACGGTCCTTTTACATCCGTAACGGCCAGAGGACGTATGTTAATGTAACAACCAAAAGCAGTGAGAAAGGATCTATTAGCCAGAACTGGACAGCAACATATTCAAATCATCTGCTATGGAAGAAGGCCTGACCAGCCAAATTATCAAAATCTTTTATCATGTGAAATGCGGAAATCTTAAGCAAAGGTCAAAAGCAGTTCCACTAGTTAAACCTAAAATCTGTCATATTATCCGGAACATGATCTCTTATCCAGAACTGGACAGCGACATATTCAAACCATCTGATATCGAAGAAAGCCTAACCAGCCAAATTATCAAAATCCATCATCACGGAAAAGGTGAAAATCTTAAGCAAAGGTTAAAAGCAGTTCAACTAATCAAGCCTAAATCTGTCCTATTCCTTTTTCCAGTATCATGAATGGCATGAGATTATTAAAATCTACATAATTTTTTGTTTTCAAAACTTAACACTGTTCCTATTAAGAAACTTTGACATTGCATTTGAAAAAAAAAAAAAAAAAAAACCTTTAACACTGCAACATAATTAATGACATGCCATTACCAATTTTCTGTCATTCAGCAAGCCAACAAAGACCCACCCAAATTTGAACTCCGTTCATGCAATTCCGTCTAGCTTTTCAGCCTATTGTGAGTAAACATCTTGCATTCAATAGACGTACTGTTTGGAGGAAATTATGATGGAGAACAATAGACAATCTTTCTAACAAGCAAGCACTACTTAAATTTGAAAGCAAGAAGAAAGAAAGCCATTAGCTGTGGAAAACACGATTAGCATTCGATGCAATTCATTTATCTAATCCAATCTTTATGTCACCTATCTATCAAGCAGTTTCTACATGGAAAAGAACAGCCATTCCAACAGACATAACATTACTCCATCTTCATAGCCAGACTCTTAGTTCAACTCTAACCATACAACCGATACTTTTAATATATCAAATCAATTCAACAGAAGAATAGAGAAGTATGAAAATCAGTATACCTATTCACTAGAAAATGGATCCTATTCCCGCCACAGTCTCTTCAACAATCTGAATAGATGGAGTCCTTCTGCTCCCATTCTTCCTCGAGTCAACGCCCGCAGTCCCTGTTCTGATGTCCGAAGGATCTCTTTTCCACTGACTTTTCCTCGATTACAGCAACACCACTGAAATGGGATTTGATACAGTACACTTTTGGTTCACCCTTCTCTCTCCAACCTTTTTGGTGAAGTAGCTGGCCTCCCGAAGTGAGCTCCTGATTCTCTCTCACTCTCTCTCTTCTCTCGCGTCTGCTCCTTTCAGTGTGTTGCCGTCTTCGACTTCTCAGCAATCAACTCTCTTCTCGTTCTGCTACGAGCAAGCCGAAGAGGAAGCCTCTCCTTTTCCTTCTCAGACAAACCACCCAATCCAGTGCCCCTTTTCTCTTCTCTGTCTTGTAGGGAAATGAAGTCAAAATGAAACGGTGACGTTTTTGGGTGCTAAGGACCAGGCTTGGGTCTGCAATTGGGCCTAAATGGATCTTGAAATTGGACTTGGCAATTTCGGGCGTTTTGAATTATTATTATTATTATTATTGTCATTTGGGCAAAATTAAAATATGGCATTTATCACTTTTTATTTGAATTTTTGTTTTAAAAAATATAATAACAAAATCAAAACTAAAATTATCCTAATATTAAAAACACAATTGAATCATCCTAAATTTTTCATATATTTGTATTTTCTTAAATAAAAATCAAGATTATTTATATCATAAATATAAAATAACTTTATATAAAATTATTTTACTCGCATTAAACTAAACATATTTTCATTTAATTTCAATAAATAGAATACAAATATAAAAAAAGAAAAAAAAAAACTTTTCTAAATCAAAAAATTTCTATACTTGGGAAAATCAATATATAAAAATACCCAATTGGGAAAATCTTTGATTTGTTCATAATCCATTTGATATTATTATTATTATTATTATTATTATTAATTTATTAACTGTTTTTATGTTAATCTTTCGTAGATTCCTTAAAAAAAAATAAAAGAAGAATAAATGCTTTTAGGAATCTAAACTTTAAATTGAAACCGTACAATGTGTCCAATAATATATTGACTTCAAAAAAGTTTGCGGCCTTCCCTTTGTTGGAAAATTAATATTGGCTTGTTTCTAGATTTAGGATTTAAACTTTTTTTATTTTTTGAGTTAAGTAATATTTTTTCTGATTTTAATAAAAAATAAAAAATTAAAATATTATTTTATATATTTAATATCACACGAATTTAATATAAAAAATTTATTTAATAAAAAATAATTATATATCTAATTTATTATTGCGTGATAATTTTATTAATAATATTAGTATATATTAATGATTAGAAATTAAATAAAAATATTTTAAAAGTTAAAATAGTAAAAAATAGTACATAAATTAATTAAATATTTTAAAATAATGTGAAATTTAAATTAATATTTTGACTAAATTTTTTTATAATCTAAAATTTTTAGGTAATAATAAAAGAAAAAGAGAAAAACAAGAATTACATATGTTTTAACATGTAAAATTGATTTACGGTTGCCCCCTTTACTAATTTTTAAAGCTTAAAAATATATTTTTAGTAAATAATATCATACGGCTGGGCAAACCCACCGTCAGTAGAGATCGCTGCACCTCCATGATCCCACGTACTCCTCGACTTCACCGAATCAAAACTCACTCACACAATCAGTAATATTGTGACCATTTTACCCTTGACAGAAGAGAGAACGTTTGACCAAAAAGGAAGTAAGCAAGATTTACGGTCACAACCACACAACCACCAGATTCATTGCATCTGCACATGTCTGAATACACTCTCTCCGTAGTGAATAAAATCTCAGACAGCCAACCAATCAGTTGACTAAGACATTTTCCACTTAAAGTAAACAAAATCTACGGCCAGAAACAAACAGTCAGCCCAAATTCCAGCGCACCTGCATTGTCACACGTATACCGTCACCCACAGCGAATCAAAGCTCACGCACATGCTGTCTTAGGTCAGCGAAGCAATGAATAGAGCCAATAAAAGGCCGCAGCTTCGCTATTTTCAAAGCCTCGCCTCCTCTCTTCACAAGAAAAATCTCCCTCGGTGTTCTGCAGTTCATTTTCAAAGCAGAGAGAAAGTCGGAGAGAATTACCACTCTCTCCAATAATCTCTCGTGGTCGCCAATCATCACTAATCTCACAGTTTCCTCATCGAAGGTATTGAGAATTTGTAAACTTTTTCTTTTTCATTTCCATTTTGCTTAGATCTGTTTATTTTTTTTATGGATATCATTTGCTTGTTCATCGATTGATTTGTGCTTTGATCGGTGTTGGTTTTGGTTGATCTGGAAATGAATCATCTATCTTATGTGGTTTCGATCTGTGTGTTGATCTGTTTTCTGCCATGTGTTATTTAGTTGACTGTCCTTGTCTGTAACTTCTTATTTTTCTGTTTTAGCATTTTGATTTATTTAGATCTGTTTACTTTTCGTCCTCTTGACTTGATATTGATGTGATGTATAACGTGTGCTGTGTAGATCTGTCATTTCTGATTGATCTCTGTAAACGTGGTTAAAACTTTTGGTTATGTTTGAATCTTTTGCTTTTTTTTTTTCAAAAAATTGAAAGAGGTTAGTCGTTTTTATGCTAGATTTCTTTTTTTTTTTTTCTTTCTTGCGGAAATTACCCTCAAGGAGAGGATTTTATCTGTTATCTCAATCCCTACTAATAGGAAAGACCTTCGTAGTTATTATGTGTAATACTTGGTAGCACCTTTAATTGGTTTTATTTTGTGGTAATTACCCTAAAGGAGGGGATTCCTTTTTTTTTTTTTTTGTTTTCTCAATCCCTATAAATAGGAAAGATCTCCATACTTAGTACCATCTTTAATTGGTCTTTGTTTTGGATTTCTAAACAGTGTTCATTATGGCCTCCACTATCTTAGGTAGGTAGGAAATGCAACCTAAAAAACCTGGCTTTTCATGAAGTTTACCCATGGAAAATAAGTTTTTATTTGTTGAAGTACAGTCCTTGTAGTCCTTGTAGTTTGGTTCTCATTCCTGAGTAGTAATGCTGCATTTTGTAAAGGGTTTGGTTCACGTTTCTGAAGTATACTCTTATTTACGTTCATCTTGTTGTGGTGTGTTGAAGGAAGTATCTAATTTATATTGCAACTTCGTGAAATTATGAACTAGTAAGTTGATACAGATGGGTTATTAATTTTGGGATTGAGTAACATCTATAGTTTTCAAATTCTGTTTGTTTGTTTCTCTCTGTATAATTTCTTGATGGGTTCTTGTTCTGTTTGTTGGTCACGTTTTTAATCAATTGTCAATTAAGGTCTTATCCAATTTTTTTTTTTACTTATTTTACCTCCATTACCCACATACAACAATTAATTTGTTTTTTAAAGCCTAAATTTCCAGTCTTTGAGAGCCATGTTGTCCAATGCCTTGTCAGTAGTTGTTATTACAATACTAGGTATGTCTCAGTAACTCGTGCAGTTCATTATAGCTTGTTCCTTTGTCTTGCCAGCTTAATATTGTCAGGCAGTCAACAGAAACTTTTAGATTTGCTTTCTACGTGCCAAGTGCTTCTTTTTTTTTCTAGATGATACTTCCGTATACTTCGTCCAAATTCTTCCATCAGCCTTGTTTATGTGCTAATAAATTCAGGTTTTCAATTGGTTTCTAATTGGATTTGAAGGATCAGTTGTCTCTTCAGGTTATTAATTGTTGCTTTTCCATTCTTGTAGGGGAAGTCAAAATGGTTGATCAGGTTCGGCATCCTACTGTCATGCAGAAGGTAACTGGACAGCTCCTTCATTCAAAGATTTCTCAAGGTCCTCAAGGTTTTGATGGAGCGCTCCAGAGGCCTGCCTTATACCAAAAACGCACTACATATGGGAACTATTCCAATGCTGCATTCCAGTATCCAATGGTGCCAGCATGCAGGGCTACCACTGATTTGTCAATGGTTACACCCACTGCATCTCCTGTATTTGTACAGGCTCCTAAAGAGAAAGGATTGGCTGGCTTTGCTGTTGATTTCCTCATGGGTGGAGTTTCTGCTGCTGTATCTAAGACAGCTGCTGCTCCAATTGAGCGTGTTAAGCTTTTGATTCAAAATCAAGATGAGATGATCAAGAGTGGCAGGCTTTCTGAACCATACAAGGGGATTGGCGATTGCTTTAAAAGAACAATCAAGGATGAGGGGATTGTTTCATTGTGGAGAGGGATACTGCCAATGTTATCCGTTACTTCCCAACTCATGTTTGTAACCCCCTTTAGTGCTACTGATCTTTTATATAGCCCCTAAATTTGGTGCATGCGTGCTCATTTCTTTTTCAGTTTATACCAGGCGTTAAACTTCGCATTCAAGGATTACTTCAAGAGGCTTTTCAACTTCAAGAAAGACAGGGATGGCTACTGGAAGTGGTTTGCTGGCAATTTGGCATCGGGTGGTGCTGCTGGGGCTTCTTCCCTTCTCTTTGTCTACTCACTGGATTATGCTCGAACCCGCTTGGCCAACGATGCAAAAGCTGCTAAGAAGGGAGGCGAGAGGCAGTTCAATGGTTTGGTAGATGTCTACAGAAAGACAATGAAGTCTGATGGTATTGCTGGGCTGTACCGTGGATTTAACATCTCTTGTGTTGGAATCATTGTTTACCGTGGTCTGTACTTCGGAATGTACGATTCCCTGAAGCCAGTTGTTCTGACTGGAAAGTTGCAGGTTCGTGTGCCTTTGTTTTAAAGAGAAAACTTATTGTCAAGTCTGTTTTGCTGGCTTGAATATTTGAAACTGAAGTTACCTTGGTCTTTAATATGTTATACAGGCTTGTCCAAATTGGTTTTAGGAGTATAATGTTTACCTCCTTAGAGTTTAAAGTTTGATTGAATATTAGATTTACATGGTATCTGCTTTATTGATTTCAGGATAGTTTCTTCGCTAGCTTTGCCCTTGGTTGGCTCATCACCAACGGTGCAGGTCTTGCATCCTACCCAATTGACACTGTCCGCAGAAGAATGATGATGACCTCTGGTGAAGCTGTCAAATACAAGAGCTCTCTCGATGCATTCTCTCAGATCATTAAGAATGAGGGTGTGAAATCCCTGTTTAAGGGGGCTGGAGCAAACATTCTCCGTGCCGTTGCAGGTGCTGGTGTGCTTGCTGGTTATGACAAGTTGCAGTTAATTGTCTTCGGAAAGAAGTACGGATCTGGTGGTTCTTAATCTGCTAATCAAAAGTTATAGGGTACATCTCGGTTTTTGGGTTCTGTTTAGTGATAGATGGTGATGAAAATCTTACTTTGGGGAATATTATTATTCCCTTCAAATTTTCATGAAAAAATAATTCTTCATTAGGAGTGGTTACCTCCTGGGACGGATTTAATTTTATTTGGAAGTTTTTGGTTCTTAGAAACCTGATTCTATAAGAGTTGTGGCTGATGCAACTCCCGGATCTTTGAAGTTTTCAATTGTTGAATTGAGAGATTTATTTAAATGCAGATTTTGTTAATGTTAGTGTCTTAATAAATTAGTCACCGTGTTGCGATGAATTATATTGTATGCTTTTGTTTCGAGTATTCTGGTTATAGTGATCGATGATTCCTAAGTTGATCTCTTTTTATCTTCGAAGATGAAGGTATGAACCTAATTATTTGTCTGATATTTCGAAGATCCAATGGCCGTCAATGGCTTATTTATTCACATAAGGGGATGATTTTAGGTCATTACAGTCTGTCAGGCTGGTGCATGTCTCTTCTTCTGGTTGTTGTTCATGTTGCTCAGTTGATGCATGTTATGCTCCTTAGGTGATGCATTTTAATCTTTATATGCTAAACTATTTACGTAATGTGGCATCTAAAATAACAAATACCAAAGGAATATTTGAACTTGAAGATAGGAAGAGATCCCAAGAATTCTAGTGGTGATATCTTATACAACAGAAGAAGAATTTAGGTCTACCAGCAATAATTGGTAGGTTATTCATGAACCAGAGAGCTGGAATTAATCATTATTTTCATAGTTAGGCAAGAACAGTCCTTTTTTGGCATCTAATCACACTTATTTTTACTCTTAAATAGAACGTAATGAGAAAGACAATTTTTTATTATATAAAGAGAATTTTACACGATCAGAGTTTGGTCTATAAATTCGTATTTCTGTGTCTTTGTATTCGAAGGAAACAAGATCTCAAGTTTGATGGATAAATTATGATAACTGTGTGATCAAAATGTGATTAATGATGGAAACGGTTCTTGATCTGTTGATATTATAGAGAATCATTCTTAATTAGATTTGATTTCGGACTGAGGTAGTCATTTGATTATATGACAGATTAATAAAAAATATAAACAAAATGTTGCGGTGAAGGAAAATTCTACATGGTCTCTATGGCTAACATGCAAAAATTAATTTACGAAAATCTATCCATGTGAAATTTTTTTCAAGTCGATAGTTTATTTTTAACCATATGAGATTAAATAAATTAAAAGTATGTTACTCTTGAATTAATCAAGTCCAAATAGAAAAAAAAAAAAAAAAAGGATTCCATGAAAGATAGAAAAATTTATGCCTGGCAGGTTGGAAGAACATTTATTTCCAAATTTTAAAAAAATAATTATTTATTTCCAAATTTATATTTAATATTTAAATATATTTTAATCTAAATACAACTACAAAAAAAGGTGCAATATTCCACATAGAATGGTGAAGAAATCTGTAATTGTTCTTGCATTTTTCTTCTTTTGAATCTTATCATAAGCTATGAAAGTTGTATTGACATGTAAAGTGAAACATGCATGATTCATGATTATTTAAAGCACAAAATATGTTCTCTACTTCACTTTTGTTAAATTTTTTACTAACCCTTTTTGTTTTGTTTTTTCCAAAACTCATCTCTCTAGATATATATGTATGTATATATATATATATATATATATATATATATGTCCATGTACATACACACACATGCTCGACTAGGATTGCTTAAAGTGTATTTTAATTTTAGTAATAGTAATACCACACATAAAATCTTATGGTAAAATGCATCTTCATTATTTAACTTGTTCAATTTGATTTAAATAATTATTTAATTT